TCCATAGACCTTACGAGTCTCGACTTCTTTCTATTCAGGATCAGCATCCAAGGACAGGAAGAATCGGCATCCAACACTCAATCGATCTCTCGATCGTCCATCTCGCCTGTAAGTTGCACTCATCTCTATCTGTTCAGTTTTAGTGCCAACAATTCTAAACAAAATTACTATTCTCAGTAGCCAGTAGGGTTTTTATTTATGTTCTTGTTGAAATAGGACTTTGCCTTTATATATCCCCTTGGTTCTCCCTACGGTTTCTCTCGATCGATATGTTACAAATTTGCTGCGTGTTCTGAGTCAGAATGGATGATGAATCGAGTGGTACGGTGGTGAAGCTGCTAATTCGTGGTCGAAAACGATATCGAATAAAGTTATATACTTCAGAGCCAGAAAAGAAGAAAATTAGGAAGGTATTACATGAAGGCGTCCTGGTAGAAATTCTCTCAAAACTGCCTGCCAAGTCTGTACTCAGGTTTAGACGCGTCTCAAAAGAGTGGTATGCTCTCACCAAAACTTCTTATTTCATTGCTAGACATGACCTTCATCGTCGCTCTCGCTCCGCTCAGAATCATGGTCTTCTCCTTGTCTCGACATATCTCACCAATGAAAAATCTGACAGACTTCTAATGATGTCATTGCATCCTGATGATAAAGAATCAAAAATTTTGCCTACTTCTTTCCTCCCCATCCCGAAACAGATAACCTTAAGCCGCTCTAAACATTTACATTTTGGCTGTGTGGGATCTAGTAATGGTTTAGTTTGTTGTCTTCTGCTGCCCATTGAGAATGAGAATGAAAAAGAGAATAGAAAAACTGCAGAGATGGAGGAGGAGGAGGAGGGAGATGTAGAAGAAAAGGATGCTGCTCTTGCGTATACTGATATATTAGTAGTATGGAACCCGACAACAGAAGAATTTAGGTGCCGGCCGCCCGGGGACATCAAAATGTGAAGCATCAAAATGCAGCATTTCTGACAACTCTAGATCCTTGGTTTTATTCTAGTTTCTCGAATCAATGAGGTTCTTGTGAACTATTGAAAGTTACATTTTATCATATGGTGCAAAAGCATCCAACCATGATGAACTTCCGCATAGAAAATCTTCAAAACAAGACAAATATTATAGTAGGCTCACCTATAAACGCTAGGAAATACTTAGGGAGGGGTTGTGGGGCCATATTTGAAGTCTGGTTTGGGAGGTAGATGTTTAGATAGATTAACTTATTTCCATATTTGTGAAGTCAACAGTCTCATGTTCATTCTTAGGTAGTTTATTGTTGTAAAACTCAAGAAAACACCTTCATTTCTGTTCATTAACTTCCTCAGGGCATGATTGTCATAACAATCAATCAAGAATTACTTTGTCTTGGCTTATCAGTTTTCTAAAATAATGATAAAACTGTAGTAGATTAAATCCTTGAACTAGAAAGAACTCATTCCCTTAGTGCATAAAGTAAAGCACATACATCAAGCTTTTTAATTCATTATACTACATTAAACCCTTTTGGATGAAATGCTCCACAACAACAAAAAGGACCCAACAGTTCCTTGATAGCTTCAAGTTTCAAGTTAATGACTAAAAGCACAAAACATCCAAAATTAGACGAAAATTTAGGCCATACTCATCCCCCAGTATGTACCCAATATATATAAATGATATATTGGAATTAATTTTTGATTGACTTTCCCATTCCATTTTCTCTCTCAGTGTAATTATGTTTTCCACGACTCCCTATATACTTCTCTCTCACTTGGCGTTCTTGTTCCATTATCTTCATCCATCCTCATCGTCTTCTTTTTTGTGTTCTTCTTCCCTTATCGATTTCTCATCTGACTCATACCATACGTAGACTTCCTACTTCTTGAACAATGACAATTTTCGGTACTCAACTCACCTAAACGGACTATAGATGATCCCTTCGTAATCATACAAGTCATTCTGGGTTTAAAGCTTTATCCCCTTTCTGATTCACTTCTTTTTTGTGTCCCTACTCATCCCTCAAATAAAGAAAATACTCAATTCAAATATGTCTCAACCAGATAAAAGAACGGATGTATCAACAAAACTTTGAGATTCTTACAGCAAATATGTCCAAGATTATGTTATCAACAAAGCTTTTTTTTTTATCCTTTCCCCTGTCAAACATGTTAAATTTATCCAAAGTGCTTCAAAGAAATTCACAAACCATCAATAATCATAATAAGATTCCAAAATCCAAAATA